GAAAACACAAACCTCTACACAGTAGCCACAGCTGTGGGTCTCCCACTAAGGTAATTTGGATAAAAAGGGATCTGCAAAGGAAAATCCATTAGTCTACCTGCCCAAATCAGGAGGGACAACATGTTCATGAAGATAGATTTGAAACTAAATTAGGGACCTCTTGAAAATCAGGAACAGCAAATTGATGGTACAATTATTATGGTACTTCTTGAAAGGGATAGGAGGGTGGGAAGAGCAAATCAGTCACTGAAGAAATGAAAGACAAGCATTATATAAAAATAGGTAGGGAGGTCAATATTTCATTTGTACAAGTCAACTTCTATTCTGCAGTAGTGCTTTTGCAGGAGGAATTAAAGGACACATTGTCAGGTGGTTTACAATGAAAATTGAAGCTTTCCAAACATCTGTAAATGGGATAGGGGAAAGTTATCTGATAGAAATAGAAATGTTGTGTAGTCTTTTTTAAGATTTAAACATTGCCTTGTGATGTTGTGAACCCAAACAAGAGCATTATGTTAATTCATGAGTGCAGACTGAAACCAACTACAAAGTGAAATCTATCAATCTAGTTTAATTGTCTAAAGGGTATTACATGCCAAGAGGAAAAGAGGGAAAAAAGTGGAAAGTACTTACTATTTTAAGACAATGTATTAATAATTAGCTAATTAAAATAAAAGACTTCTGCAATATTTTACCTTCACATGTTCATTAAAATATAAATCTGCCTCTAATGTTTAACGTGTGTCAAGTGTAAGACACTGAACTGCAATCTACTTTGTTCCCATGCAGATAGATTTCTAATTTACCTGCTTATGTTAGGCCAGCGTTTCTCAACCTTTGTAGACTCAGTGGCACCCCGTTAGACTCAAAGCACCCTTTGGAAAATACCAGCTCTTAGTTTTCATTCCTTTCTTGACTACAGAAAATTAATAGAGCGATTCTTCTGTTGCAAAGAATTCAGAAAGACCACAAAAGGTAAGACTGTTTTTGATGCTATAAAATCCTATTTGAAATTTCCAGGTTTATGTTGATAATCATGTGTACATACTCACACATCTACCAGTGCTAATGCACAACACTTTAAAATATTTCACAACCTTCCAGTTGAGAATCACTGGGTTAGGAAGTACCTTAGATAATAAGTGCAAGGACACAGGGGTGTCACACCAGTGCCCTGCCACTGCAGTAGCAGGGAACTTGTCTGTTTATATATGCTCAAATAATCCTAGGAAGAGGACCTGTGCTACAAACAAAGGTAGGATAGTAGTGAAGCAATAGCACTATTAATCTGTATGGTACTCATTGTCTTCAGAATGCTCTAGAAATCATTCAACCTCTATTATCTTTATCAAGTTGGGAAATATTATCATTTGTTACTTGCTTCTGGTAGCAGCAGCCAGGATATGCCAAATGCTGTACATACATAAAAATGACTCATTCGCTATCCTGCAAACCCACATTCAAAATGTTTTCTCCATTTGTAGAAATGATGTCAGAAGTTGAGTGATTTGACTAAGGCCACAAACCAAGTCATTCTCAGAAGTAGAATTAGAAATAGTGGAAAGCCTAGCTCCCAGTCCTCACTTTAGTTATACCTCTCTCCTATAGTATTATTGCATACAACAATCAAGAAACAATTACTGTAGGAAACATACATTTTAATCCCCTACACCTTGAAAATTCACAATCAGCCATAATATGACCCTTATTCCTCCTCTCCCCTCCCCCCCCTTTTATTTCCTTGATGGAAAGATTTAAAGAAATTGAAATATGAGTACTGTAATTAATTAGGAGCACCACAGGGTCACATGAGAAAGTGACAGTGCAGCTGGTAGTACTCAGTAAAGTAAACACACATTTGGATGTGTTCATTAGATGGCTCACTCATTTCAAAATTATATAAACTCTGGGGAGTTTTCTCCCTCAGTCATGTCCCTCCTCCTGCATGACTCTTCCACTTCTCCCCGCCAACACATTCACATATATGCTGCTATGCTGTGACCATCAAAGTGTTATAGAAAAGAAACAAGCAGATCTAGTAGCATCTCTGCTAGGCCACATTGCCAGCAATTTCACCCAGGTACAAAATGAGTGACTCCTGACTGGATGGCAGCACTACAGAGAAGGATCTAGGAATCCTGGTGAGTCTCAATACACGTCTGTAGTGTGATGTAGCTGCACAAAAGGCAAATGTGTTTTTGGGTTGCATTAATAGAAGCATTATATGCAGAACCTAGGACACAATAGTGCCTCTACGCTGCACTACTTAGGCCTCATGTAGAGTATTGCATGCAATTTTGGACTGCACATTTTAAAAAGGACATGGAGAAGTTAGGGTCGAGAGGAGGTGACCAAAATGATAAAAGTGCTTGGAAGGCAAGTCATATGAAGAGAGGTTGAAGGAAACAGGCACATTCAGCCGGTGGAAAAGCTGTAAAAGAAAACAGCAGCCTTCAAAATACCTGAAGGGGGAAAAATACCTTTTCTCTCTTGCTGCATAGAGCAGAATGCAGACCAAAGGCTTGAACACTGCAGCAAAGTAGGTTTAGATTGGATACAAGGAAAAATGTCCTCGCTGTCAGAACAGTGAGGCAGTGGAATAGACTGCCTAGGGAAGTTGTGCAATCTCCATCTTTGGAGGTGTTCAAGAAGAGGTTGTACAAGCACTGATTGGGGCAATCTAAGAGTAGCTATGCCTATATGCTTTACTATGGGTAAATCCCAATGCTTCCAGGCTTTGCTTGCTGGTTGACACATGGGGCCAGGAAGGAATGTCTTGCTCAGGGTGAGGAAAGAATTTTAGGTCATGGTCAGAGTAGTACAGACTAGGGTGTGTTTTGCCTTCATTAGTTAGTGTGGGGCATGGCCCTCTTCCTTAGATCTGCTCAGTGTAATTTAACAACCCTTGTAGCAGCAGAATATTGGCCACCACAGTCCCTCTGCCTCACCTGTGGCAAGTTAGGCTGCTCTGCCTCAAGGCTCTCAGGGTTGACTGTACAGTTTTACCAACAGGTTAGACAATAGATTTGTATCAATTGGTCTGGATAGGGATGATCCTGCCTCTGGCTAGGGGTTGACCTCTGAAGGTCCCTTTCAGGCCTATTTTTCTATGATTCTGTGTACCACACCAAGAATGAAACACTTGTGACTGGAAACACTAGGTAGCCACTAGCAAATCTGACAGGCCTACAGGATTCCTTCTGATGCATTTAACGGTGGCATTATGTATGAGAAGGTAGGTACTACAACAATCAGCAGAGCATAGCTGCTGACATGAGATTAGGACAGAGGTGTGGGGAGAGCCTTCTTGCAGATAAAGAAATATATTCGATTAAATAAACATTCTGCTTGGATCCAGCTTTGAAAAAGACAGTTCAGGTATTTGTTTAAGTGGTTTCTTTTAGCAAGAGCACAAATACAAGGCTCAATGATTATCCTCACGGCTATGGATTCAGCATAATATTTGGGTTTCACTTATCTACAGGCAATTCCTTTAAGGTACTTCATTTACAATGTTACCATAATATTAACATATCAGCAGCATCTAATTCCATACAGCAGTATGAACAATCTTAAAAATTAACAGTCTGTGGACTCTGATCTTTTATATACTGCCACAAATGGATTTAAAAAGTGCAGTGACTTGCTGGAAGCACAGCTACATGCCTTAGCTGGATATTAATTTTCCAGACTGTCAAATGAGAGACTCACAGGTATGAGAACAAGGTTCTGAGAGAACTCCTCTTGGCAGGAAGAGATCAACAAAACCCTAAGCTAAGAAAGATTTCAATGCTATTTGCTGCTTTCCACTACCCTTATAACCACACTAGATGCTTTTCTGACTTTATCAGTGCCTCAGAGTTGCAATGTGCATCAAAGCCACCTTTCAGGCAGTAGGGTGCAGCAGGTCAGGCTTTTACCTCAGTCTTGGAATAGTGAATAATATTATACTATTTTAAGTCTAGTAATTTTCTTATTCATTCAAACTTAATTGTAATTGAATGCTATGTACATGACAGGGAAGAATTAAATATGTTAAGAGGTTTAACTTCTGTGCTCACTCTAAAAGGGTGGTGGGGTTGTTGATACTGCACTGAGTTTGCCAGCATACTGAAATGAATTATATAGCATGGACAGATTTTTCTACATCATGGTGTTTAAAACTGTTACAGTGACAAAGCAAGGAATTTATCTATATATCCCACATATTATACAGATAAAGGGAAACACATCTTGGAAAAAAGCACTTCTTAGGCATGCATACATGCATGCTACAGCAGTATATATTGCATTTTTCCATATGGGTCACTTAAAATGCAGATATATAGGTGTACAAGGAACCTCTGATTTCCCTTGATTCTGTATTCAGCACAAATAAGTACAAGGGCAATTTTAAGTTTCTTGTACCAGGCTTGCAAACCAACAGTTTTGAAACTGCTCCTGGCAAAAAATCTTGTTCTTACCCTCACAGCAGTTGAGTATGATGTAGCCTGCTGCAATATGTATGGTTTTGCCCACTCTCACATCCAAGTTGCATCAGTTTCTTGCAACTGCTAACCATCTTGTGTGAGGCACTCATGTCAGGGTAATTTCCTGACCCTTGGTGATAGAGGAGAGCCAGCCTCCTTTAAAAACAACAGTGGGCACAGATATTCATGTTACTGGGAGGGAATAAGATCCTGTCTTGTCCCAGCAGGGCAGTGCCAGATCTCAATACATTGGAATCACATACCTTGCAAGCATATCCCAACTTTATGTTAATTTACCTCCTCCTTTTGGTGGACAAACTATGGGCATGAGTGATGGCCCCAGTACACTATGGAAATCCCAGTCTTCCAAAGCCAGTTATCTCAGGCATATTAGCAACATTCATGTCCCCTTCTTGACCCTCCCCCTC